GTGTGTGTGTGTGTGTGTGTGTGTGTGTGTGTGTGTGTGTGTGTGTGCGCGTGCGCGCGTGTGCACGTGCTCAACCTTTGATACATCAGTGCACACTTTGAAAGTGTAATTGTGAAGGATATTCACAGGGCAGCCAAGAAGGGGAGCTGTGACCTCAAGTGCCGCTGGCCACAGGGATCAGCCGGTTGAAGGCTTGGTTCTAGGGTGGCCACAGTCTAAGTGGCCTCCTGGCCTAGGATCCCTCCTGGGACGCTGGTGGCCTTAGCCCATTGGTGTGCGCACAAACACCCCTTCCCCCCTTTACTGTTTTTTATCTCTGCTCCGTGAGAGCCCGACTTCAGAGCACACACGCATGCACGCGCACACACCTCTAGGGGCCGGGGCTGCAGAGTGAAAGGGCTCCATCCTGTGATGCTGTACGTCACGGCAGCACGAGCGAGTCCACGCAAAGGGTTTGAAGAGGCTCCCCCCAGTGGTGGGCATGTTCCTAGGTCCGTGCTTCAGGGCAGCTGGACAGCGCTGGCCTCAGAGCAGCTCAAAAAGGGGCATTCTAGGGCCCTGGAATCTTCTTCAGACAGTTGTGCTTGGTTTCCCAGACAAGGGGTTCTACTTAATGTTCTAGCCTAGATGTTTTGAGATGCAGGTTTGGGGCACTAAAAATAAGAAGGGCAGGAGGCATAAAACATCCTGTTGGACAGAGCAGGTCTATGCCATAGAACCAGAAACCAAACAAGAAATAAACCCAAACAGGTTTTCTGGACTATAACAATGCGTTTTCCAGGCAGACCCCATCTTTCATGCACATGTACAGAGAAGTAAGCCTGCCTCTTTTTTCATTCATCTTCCTGTCTGGCGGGTCCCCTTTTTCAGCCAGCTGGGTTTTGGGGGTAGTTCTCAGGCTTTGGCCATTTGTTTGGCAGACAAATGCTGGGTCCTCCTTCCAGCCACCCCAGCTCTGGAAGCAGTACCAGGAGTGCGGGAGACTCTTCTTGGGGTAGATCTGAACATCCAGTTTGATCAGACGTCCATGGGCAGTGTTGGGGTCCTGCTTTTCTTGGGCAGGAGCTGGGGCTCCCTCAATGTAAGCAGACTCCATGGGATAACAGGCTTCTCTGGAATCTTCCTCACCTGGTGGGTTTGTACCTTTGGGGCTCAGCACAGGCCCAGAATAACCATCGGGGTGGGGTGTGTCTCCGGACCAGCAGGGCAGCATATGGGCCTTGACAGCCCTCGGTTCTGTCTGAACTCGCTGGCCTTCAGTCCTGTCCCTCTTCTCCACTTCAGAGCCCATTTTTCCTGGGAGTAACTGCACTCCTGTCTGCTCTCTGCTGCACTCTCATGCCAGAGAAAGAAAGATCTTGTGCTTTGGGGGCTTAGGACAAGCCTGGTTGGCAGCTCCACTTAGGCAGCATTCCCGTAGGTTGTGGTGCAGAATTCTGTGGAAACATTCTGGCGACTGGCCCCCGGCGATTCTGTGCCCCCACGTTCACCTCTCGGTGTCAAATATGAGGAATTGCCTCTGGGAATGGAGAGTGGAGAAGTGTGTCAGGTAAAAATTCTTTTGTTCTCCTGGTCAGAAACCAGAAGCATCCTGAAGAGGAGGCGGATAGCCGCCGACCGGCCCGGCTGTTTGAGCAGGAAGGCGGTCTCGAGAAGCCACTAGTCAAGACTGGGTTTGCAGTGTCTCTGCAGAAAACTGCCCCCGGCAGTCACCCAGATCAGCTCGAGGCCGGCCAGAGAAGGCGGCAGTTCGATGAAGAGTCCTTGGAGAGCTTCAGCAGCATGCCTGACCCTGTCGACCCAACCACGGTCACAAAAACGTTCAAAACTCGGAAGGCGTCTGCGCAGGCCAGCCTGGCCTCCAGAGACAAGACCCCCAAGTCAAAGATGAAGAAGAAGGCTTCTGTGCAGCTGAAAGCTAGAGCAAAAAGCACCGGTAAGTGCTGGGGACTGGGGCCATCCGTGAGGCGCTGCCAGGGTGCGGGAACTGCAGGTCCAAGCTTACAAAGGAAGGAGCTGAGTAACCGGGGATGAGGGAGTGTCCAACCCAGGCCTCCACATTGCTCTCGCTAATATCAAGTACTTGACTTGATTAAATTTCTTTTAAATTCCGTAGGTCAAATTTAAGAAGTTGACATTTAATGCCACTAACATTCCAGTCCACATTCTTTTGTGAAGTCCATAACAGATCAACTCTGCAAGTCTTGTAATCATACAAAAGCAATCTCCTGCCCCCCAGGATGCTGCTGTCCCGGTCCTGTTTGTGCAGGCTCACCATCTTAGGGTCAAGCGATAGAACCATTCTGCCATCTACAAATTGTTTGTCTTATCCTCATCACTCCTCTTTGTCCCGGCTCCAGCTCGATTAATGCCTCCTCTGCTCCCCCGTCCCATCCCTCTGAGCTACGCCCCTTTAAGATCCAAGGCGCACAAGCACACCACTCCCTCAACAGCCTCATTGTGGCCCCTGTGGACATACAGTGGCTGCCTCTCCATCTCATCCCCTCCCATGGTTCATGGTTCTCTGAACCAGAAGTGTTCATGGCAGTAACCAAATTCCCCACCTTTCTTCCTGGATGTGCCTCTCAAAAGCAAGGGCAGCCTGGAAAGCCCTGGCCTTCCACACATCTGGACCCTTAGCACATGACCTCCAGGCTCTGCACCCATCGCCCATCACTCTTCTTTCTCCCCTGCCCCCAGGCTTTGCTCGTCAGTGCAGGTGTTTGACTTGCTACTCTCCACAGTCTCTTGCTTTTCTGCCCAGGCCAACCTGGGGCATCCCTCGTGATTACCACTATAGAAGGCTAGGGAGGTCAGCAGACTTCATCCTTCAGGCATTCCTGGCACCAGAGTCTCAGCAGGGCCTTGGCTGGACGCTTCCCTTGCCGATTGCTTGTTGAGCTCCTCACAAGCCCTCCGCCAGAGGTGCCCTGGTACCCAGCTCATTTACCTTCCTTGATTTCCCTTGATCTCTCTCCTCTGGCGCGCTCCGTCTATGGAGTGTGTGTTTGGGTCTTATTCCCTCATGAGCTCCTGAAGCTGAGAGAAGGTCTTCTGTAAACGCTTTCATTTACAAATGAGCAACGATTGTTTGTTAGTGTATTAGCGACAGATTTGTGTCATGCGTATTCCCTAGTGCATAGTGCAGTTCTTTGCACGTACAAAATGCTGAATGAATAAGAAGGCTCTAATTCTCTTGAATTCTATGCATAGCTATTACGCACTGTTGTGCTTAAGACACTTCTAGATGCTAGGAGTGCCAGGAGGATAAATGATACAGTGCCTGCCTAAAGAAAGAGTCTGTGATCGAATGGAGACTGTGACATGTGAACAAAGAAGGCAGGATGTAAGAGGGTTGCCTCCAGGTCAGAAAAGGCTTTCTGGAGCCATCATTGCCCACCACAGAAGGTGGGCCTTGGCGACGGCCCCCAAGAATTCCGCCCTGGGGAAAAGATGGCCATCTCCTGGTGTGGTGAAGAGCCGGCGATGAACGTCAGTTCTGTGGAATAACGTTAGGAAGGGAGGTTAGAGAGTGCATTCAGTGCCACCCAAAGGCCTTCCGGTCTGTAGGCTGGAGGGAAATGAGGCTTTTGAGTGACATGGTCAGGTGTGTGCCTTAGGAGGCTTATTTTGGCATCTGTGGGAAAGATGGACTGGGAAGGGAAAGAGACCAGGGAGGACACAGCTAGAATGGTCCAAGTGAGAGGCAGACACCATGGATCTGTGTTGGGGGAAGAGGACCGTTGTGGAGGTGGAGTGAGCCAGGCTTCACCACACGACAGCCAGGACACCAGTAATCCAGACCGAGGGTCGTGAAGGCCTGATAATGAACGCTCTTTAACTGTAGACGTTAAGTAGTTTTCATTCGTTTGATTTGCATTTTATTAATGACAAACTTGGGATCACGTACTAAAATTTCCCACTAAATCAAGGTCAGGAATACAGCTAATGTTATATACACGCTATCCCTCCATCCTTAGTGGGGTGCCTGAGAGGCTCCAAATGAGCCTGAGTCTTGGCTCTACCCTTTTCTGGAGCTGTTTCCAAGAATCCTGATGAGATCCCCTTTCCATCCACACCCTCACTTGTAATCTCTTACCAGGTAGACACCTGGGAGATGAGAGCAAATTCCCCGGGTGTAGGTGCTAATTTATCCCCCTCCACATTTCTTTGGACTTCACCTGCCTGATCCTTGGGGCCCCAGGTCTGCTCTGCTAGGATGGCATTGACTCTCAGAATGACTGTAAACGCGAGTGACGCTTTCAGTGAGCCAGGCGCGCCTGATGACAACACTTGTCCCTTTTTTCACTTAAGGGTATGAAAGTGCCAGTATGTCTGGTACGTGTGAGCCTTGCAAGAGCAGGAACAGGCACGCAGGCCACACCGAGGAGCCTGTTCCAGCAAAAGTATTCAGCAGAAAGAATCATGAGCAGCTGGAAAAAATTATAAAATATAGTCGATCAACAGAGATGTCCTCAGGTAAGGGGGTGGGAAGAAGTGCCTGCTGTGCCAGGCTGGCACAGCCTGGTCCAGGTGAGATTCACAACTGCTTTTGTGTGTGCCTGCCCTTGGTTTTCAAAAGCATCCTTTACCTTCTTCTGACTTTATGCGTGGGATCCAGGAAAGAAAGATCCAGAAAGTCCTGCTTACCTGGCAGGCAAGAAATCTTTAATACAGGGGCAGCAAAATGGCACAGGGGATAGAGCTCTGGCCTTGCAGTCAGGAGAAGTTGAGTTCAAATCTGCCCTCAGACACTTGACACTCACTAGCTGTGTGACCCTGGGCAAGTCACTTAACCCTGATTGCCTCACCAAAAAAGCAAAAACAAAAACAAGGAAAAAAATCTTCAATAGAATATGTAGAAATGAGGTGTACGCCCAAAAAGCTAACCTCATCTCTTAATTCTGTGTGCGTCCTGATCATTAGAACCTGCTCACGAAGCCCCAAAGGCCATTCTGGGCCAGATCTCAGCCTTCCCTCTGGTGCCTTCAGCTGATCCCCAGAGCATTTCACCTTTGTCCTGCCCTCCCATGAAGGTGCTAACAAGTGAGACCAGGGGCTGCTGCCGCTGCCGTTAATGATGGCATAGATACAAAACAGCAGCACTGGAGTAATTCAGCAGTCGTAGAATCCCAGAGTCTGAGAATTGAAGTCACCTGAGCAGCTGTCCTGTGCAAGTCCTGTCCAAAAAGGATTCCCCGCCGTGCTGTACCCAATAAGTCGTCATCCGTTGTTTGTCTTTGACATCAGGGAGGTGATGCCATGACATGCGAGTGAATTGGATTTAAGTGAGGGAAGGCAGTGCAAAGTCACCAGCCTCACTTTCTCCTCCGGAGCCATCTGGGTCCAGTGGCCAGATAGATATCAGGACGACTGGAGAGGGCCCTGGATAAAGGGGGAGACCCTGGCCTTTTTAAGTTAAGATCTTTCCCAGGTCTCAGTTTTTAACTGAGACTACAATTCAGTGATTAAGGCTAAATAAGAGATGGGCAAAGAATGGCCTCTTTTACCTAGTTTAAAAAAAAAAAAACAAACCCACAAAACAAAAACAATCTGGGAGGGAAAGACCCTCATGGTTTCTGGCCCAAACAGAAATCATTGATATTTACTCTCACTCTGAACCCTCAGAACCCAAACAATGACTGAGGGAGGCTTGGGCTGGGACCTGTTGTTGGCCAGTCAGTGAGAGCCAGAGTGATTTGGGTTTAAGGCATGGTCCTTAAAAAAGAAATGTAGCCTGTAAACCTCGAGATAGCTTGAGATCTCTTTGATCTCAAAATCAAAATGTATATTCCTTTGGGCAGAGCACCCACAGGTAGGGGTATGATTCCCGATGTGGACAGTTGTCCTCCAGCACCCTCCTGGAAGCTTCCAGTGACAAGGAACTCCTCTCAGAGCAGCCTGTGCCACTTTTGGATAGTTCTGATTGTTGGGATGCACATGACAGCCCTCAGATATCTGAAAACAGTTATCCTTCAGGGCTACCCAGGCCCCAGATCTCTTCTCCAGGCTGTGATCTCTAGTATCCTCATCGGGCGTGGCCCTGGGGCCTGTCACTCTCCTGGCTGCCCACCTCTAGACCCTGTCTCACTTAATGCAATCTTTCCTAAGCTGTGGTGCTCAGAACGAGATGCGGTCTTCCCACTATGGTCTGACCTCCTTCTTCCTAAGTGGCCTGGGACCACATTCACTTTTTTGCTGCTGACATCTGTTGGCACTTGCAGCCCCCCTCTAAACCCTGAGCCCTGAGCTCCATGTCCTCCATTGTCCACTCGTGAAAGCCATCTTTGGAAGTCCTGCAGACTGTGTGTGACTGCTGCTTCCGCTTCTGAACTCGCACGTTAGCCACGTTTTCCAGCAGACCATGCTGGCTCATTCTCAGAGATGGACAGCGTCCTGGGCTTGGAGTCAGAAAGACCTGAGCTCCAGTTTGACTGCCGACACTCATGGGCTCTGTGGCCCTGGGCAGGTCAGGTCACCTTCCTTTCGCAGCCTCAGTTTCCTCAACTGCAAAATGTGTAATAATACATAATAGCACCTCCCTGCCAAGGTTGTTATGAGGATCCAGTGAGATCCTGTTTGTGAAGTGCTTTGCAAACCTTAAAGTGCTTTAGAAATGTTAGTTATTTGTATCAGTTGTCATTGGAGTAGATGAAAAGAAATACAGAGTCAGAGATGGGAGGGATCTCAGAGACTACCTCAGGCAGACTGCACCTAAACACCCATCCTGCTTGACAGGCCTTTACTTGGAGCCCTTTGAGGACGGGGAGCTCACCCCATGCTGCCCCTTCTCCTTCAGGGCAGCTCAGATCAGAAGGAAGGAAGAAAAGCACTATTTTTCTTAGCTCAAGCTTTGGTTGGTCTCTTGGTTCTGCCTCCTAGGACAGAGCAAAACAAATGTCATCCTTTCAGGTGATGGCATTTGAAATACTTGGAGACAGTTCTAATATCTCCTCCCCAAGACTCCTCTTTTCCAGCCACTCCTTGTTGTTTTCTGGACACCTTCAACTGCCAACACCCTTTGTAAAATGAGGCTCCTGGGACAGCCCCCGCCTTCTGACCTCCCCAAGCAAGGACACTTCTTGTGCCTCAAGCCTCAAACAGAGTCACTGGTCAGCCTCGGTGTCACACCATGCCTCATGTTGAACCCCCAGATCTTTTTCCCATGAATTGCTTTCCAGCCCTGCCTTCAGCATCTTGTATTTCTGACATTGATGTTTTGAACCAAGGTGTCAAACTTTACGTTTATCTCTATTGAACTGACTCCTTCCCCCCCCCCCCCCCCCCCCCCCCGTTAGAATGTAAACTCTTTGTGGGCTGTTATTCTTTGAGTTTTGTCTTTGTGTCTCAGCACCTGGCGCTTGGTAGGTGCTGGATGGCTGAATGGGAGTGGCGTAAGGTGTTGATCTAAACCTCTTTTCTGCCAGGCTGCTTTCTAGTTTCCTTTCACTGCATATCAGACTCAGACTCTTCACAGTATTTTCTTTTCTAGTCCTTCTAGGTCTTGGTAGTTTAAGCTGTTCCCCTGACACACTCTGTTTTATTTAGCTCAGCTTGTTTTGATGTGTGTTGTGTCACATCATTTGGTTTTAGATCTGGTGATGTTAGGTCTCTCTAATGTTAGGCTCCCTTCTTTCCTGCCTTTTTTTTCCCCCTTCCATTTTTCTCCTTGAGATTCTAGATGTTTTTGTTCCTCCAAATGAATTTTCAAATTTGTTTGTTTAGTTCTATAAAGTCACCCTTGGTAGCTGGGTATAGCACTAGGTAAGTGTCAGTGGGAACGGATGAATGAATGAATGAAGCGTTGATTAAGCGCTTCTTTTAGGCCACGCATCACGTGTCCTCATTTCTATTACATCGGCACGGCCCGCACATGAACAATGACTCTCTCACTAGTGGGCCTCTTTTAGTTCTATAGACAGCGTTTTATGGTTAGATCCTGAGTTTGTCTTGGCAGAGCAACTCCAATATTTTATGGGTTTTGTAGTGATTTTGAATACAGGGTTTCCAAGCATTTTCTAGAGTTTTTTATTAGTACTGTCTAGAAATACTGCTTGTATTGTGTATTGGGGGGTTATTTTACATCCTATTATCTGAAGTTATTATCCTTTTTCTTAGTTTCTTTACTGATTCTCTGGGGTTTTCTAAGTAAACTATCAGGTTATCTGCCATCAGATAATATTGTCTTTTCTTGACCACTGTTTATACCTTTGACTTCTCTCTGCTTTTATTTCTGTAGCTAGCCTTTCTAGTATTGTGTCAGATCATGGTGAGGAGACTAAGCACCCTGCACTTCTTGGCAAAAGCATTTGAATCATCCACTCAGCGAGCGTTTGTGAAGTGCCTACTGTGTGCTCAGCCCTAGAGCTATGTAAAGAAGAGAAGTGGCCTTCCTCCCCAGGAGGAGAGGGCCTCGTACCTAAGGACAGTTACGATCCCCCCAGGAAGTCTAGTCTTCCTGGGAGGTCTGACGACACAGATCAGCATCCGATGCTCTCCCTTCTGCCTAGCTGTGCTTCATCTGGTCCTGGTGACAGGGGCTCCTCGAGGGCAGCTTTCGTGTCCTTCTCTCAGGTGCCAGCCCTGCCTGGGCTCTCCAATCCGTCATCCTCTGCCTTCTAGGATTCTCCTCTTTCCCCTCCTCAGTGTGTGTGAGTTCTCTGGCCTAGGGAACTCTCAGGGGAGGAAATTCCTTTTACCAGAGCAGGTTAGCCCCTTCTCTGTACCTTAGGGCCTTGGAGAGTCGCTTCAGGCCTCTGATGTGTCATGTGTGACTTGCTCAGGGTCACACAGCCAGCACGGGTCACGGGCAAGATCCTCCTGTCTTTTCCCTGAAGTGCCTCAGATCTGCTCTCCTGACAGGTAGGAAGTGTTAAGTCTTTGTGTGAGCCCTGTCTAGCTCTCCATGCCAGGGTAAAGCAGTCGCTTTTCTGCCTAGGCGGCTGCCCCTTCCAGCTCAGCGGCCAGCCCCTCCTTACTGATGAGAATCAAGTCCCGAATGGGAGGGGGGCTCCTGATTTCTTCCTCTGCCTTTGGAAGGGCGAGACTGTCATAGTCAAGATGATGGTGAGCTGTTGTACGTCATGCAGCCAAGGGCTCGGGCCGATGTCCGGCTGAAGGAGAGCTCCTTCCGGGCCAGGCTGAGATCAGTGTTTCCCAAACTCCTTACCTGTTTTCTGTTTTGGTCCACGTGGTCTGTTACCACCAACCTCTATCCCTCCACTAACTTGGTTTAAATAAGTTTTATTGACTTTTTTTGTTTCTTCCATCACCACAGTGTTCCATCTGTCCCTTCCCTTCCCCCTCTCAGAGAGTCCTCCCATGTGACAAGTAGTGTTTTTTTGGGAGAGTGTCAAAAAAAAGTCAGCACAACCTATCAGTTCATTGAAGAAGTCCAAAACCATGTCAATCAGTGGCACCTGTGGGCCTTCCCACCTCCACAAAAGGATGGCTTCCTCACTTAAAATCGATCTATTATGATATATTGCACCCTCCCTCAAGGGCTATAATTATGAGTATGGCCCGAATTTGATGTAAGACGCAGGAACTGACATGAAGTACGAGATGGAGAAGAAGTGCCTAGAGCATCGTTCATCGGCAGAAGCAGCTGGGGGCGTGGCTGTGCCGTGAGCTTCCTTGGCATCCCTGGATGTGTCCATCAGGGAAGCCAATGCAGGCTCATGCTGCCTTGGGTGAGGCACGGAGCCTCGGCCTGGGCGTGGGGGGGGTCCTGCTGTCCTCTGCAGAACCAGCCAGACCCCCACATGGAGGACCACGTTCAGTGCTGGTATCCACGTGCAGAGGGAGTGTGCAGTGTGGCTGAATCAGGGGTGCGTGGCGGGAAGAAGAGTTGTGGGTGCATAAAAGCTATCTTTAGGGGTTGGAAGAGCTTTCCGGCACAAGTAGGGTAGATTGTTCTGCTTGATCCCAGGGAACAGAACCAAGACCAGAGGGGGTGGTTTGTAAAAAGTTCAGAGGTAAGGATCACTTGCAAACCATTAGAACTGTCCGCAGCAGAGTGAGCTCCCCGAGGGTAAGGGTGACTTCCCCCTCCTGAGAAGGCCTCAAGCAGAGACTGGTAATGAGCTCCTGCCTACAGTGGGGCTTAAACTAGAGGCCTGCTAGCTCCCACATCCCTTGGTGCTCCTGAGTGGACCTGGGCCTGAAGTGTCCTTCCATTCTGGAGGTCCCTGACCTCCAGAGGCGGCCGGGCCAAGTCTTGCCTCTTGGAGGCCAGCCAAAGCTGAGGGTTCAGGTGAACAGAGGAGAGGTTTCCTCTTCCTTTGACCGAGGCAACGGGCTGCCTTGTCCCCACCCTGAACACAGAAGGTAGAGTCACGCTTGCTGGTGCTGGGTCAGTCACCATTTTCTGTGGTGGATCTTTTGGGGCTTTTGTGATGGGATGATTGCCTTTACATGGTGACAGAATTCAAAATGAGTAAAACTATAAGAAGCTCCTCCTTTGGTCTCAAAAACAACTTTAAAGAGGGAGTTTGTTTTTTTTTTTAAATTTCAGTGACTCATAGATAAACCCTGTGTTTACTACTCATCCACATTTTGTGTTCATCGTTGTATCTGTCCCTTCCCCCTTTCCCTACAGCACATGCTAGGAGAATACTTCAGCAGTCTAACAGAAATACATGCAAGGAAGCGCCAGGTAATGCACCAACTGCTTCATTTCAATTTCTGAAGAAAAATCTCTGTCCGAATTTCTCATCCCAGACTCAGTGCTATCAATTTACTCTCTGCATTAGGTGCAGTTTAATGTATCTGTGAGCGAGTATTTGACTAAAAAAAATTGTTTAAACAAACAAAAAAACCCACTGTTTGAGGAATCTGATAATTTTATAATTTCAGTTACTATGGCCAACTTCTACTTGGTAGGACAGTGTGGGTGTGTGTGTCTGTACACCTGCGTGCATGTGTGTGGGTCTGTTTACAAGTGTACATATCTGCGTGCACGCATGCAGGTGTGTGGTTTTCAGCTTGACTTTTTGAGTTATGTAGCGTGTAGTTATGAGATATTTAAAGCACCATTTTCCAGAAAGTAGAATTTGGAATTATTCCTGGTTCCTTGTATTTGCCTTGGAGAGGCCAAAATTCTAGACTTGGCTGAGTTTTCGATTAGTAATATCTCCCATAGAAGTCAATGACAGTCTGATTATACAGAGTTTCAAATTATACAGGCTTTCAGAGAGTTTTCTGGAGTGTCATTCTTGTATTTAAACCGGAGACTTACTGTCTTTTAATACTGCTGTAGTTCTATAGCAACAATCAGTGAGGAAGGAACAGGAGGGCGGTTTAACATTTAAGAGTGGGGAAGGAAAGCAAGCAGAGCCTGCTTTTGAACATCTTAGGGACACTTCCAAGTGAAGAGCGTCGACAGCCTTCAGAAGGTGGGCTCCAGGAAGCAGCAGACTGCATTCCTCACCCATTGTGACCCCCAGAATTCCAAGTCTAAGAGGGGTCAGCTACACAGGCCCTCCTCCAATTGAACATATCCATTAGTATAAAAAGTAACCGTTTACTGAGATGAAAAGATGTCACTCATGGATAAGACGATATGAGCTGTTGATTTTGTGTTGTGTGCGTGTGTGTGTGTGTGTGTGCATGTGTGTGTGTGCGTGTGTGTGTGCGCGTGTGTGCATGTGTGCAGAGAAGCAGAGAACCTTGACTTTTTGTTTACTGAATTTTCCAGAGTGTGTATTTCAGAGTAGCTCATTGTGTGGCCTTGGTCAAGTCACTTAGTTCCCACCATTTTAAAAGGAGCTGTTCCAGCTCCAAAATTCGGTGACTCTAGGAATGACCTTCTTGGCCTTTCCAGGAAAAGCTGGTGTGTGTGTGTGGTTCTGTCACCACCTCTCTGGGCAGACCTGCAGAAAACCATGTGTCTCATCTCATGAATGTACTGAGTAAAGTTTCCATTAAGTTCTGTTAGAAAAAACACAGAAATGTGGAGGAAAGTGAGTTTGTGAGACTGTGTTGCAGGCTTGAAGCACTGTGTGGAAGAAGAGACAGCACTCACTTCATCCTCAAAACGCCACCCTCAGTAACTCGCAGCTTGGGAGGACAGGAAAGGCCTGGAAAGCTAGCGCTGTCACTAGTCACTAGGAGGAAGTGTCCAACAGTTCATCCGTTTTGATTGTCTGATCTTTTCTGTCTTCCAGAAACTGGAAGTGATTTTTCTATGTTTGAAGCTTTGAGAGATACTATTTATTCTGAAGTAGCAACGTTGATTTCTCAAAATGAATCCCGTCCTCATTTTCTCATTGAGCTTTTCCATGAACTCCAGCTACTTAACACAGACTATTTGAGACAGAGGGCACTGTATGCGCTGCAGGTAAAGAAGGGCCTCGACTCCCCTCGGCCTGGGCCTTTACTTCCCTCTGTGTCTGCACAGGGGCGTCCCTGTGGACCAGCGTTCTTCTCTGTCTGTTCTCTGTACTTTGTGGCTACGTTACTGCTGTAGCTGCACGTCCTGGCCCGTAATGTAAATTCTCTTCCAAAAAAGTGACTTCATACCTTATATTGCCTTGATTGTCTCCATTTTAAAAGGGCTAGTACGTTTAAATGTGGCATACTGAAAAATTATTTATTATCATTAAAATTATTGTTTATTAATACTAGATCTTTATTATTATTTAAGTAATTAACTGCCTTATTTCTTTGTTTAGGACATAGTCAACAGGCATATTTCTGAGACTAATGAAAAAGGAGGTGAAAATGCCAAATCAGTGAACTCTACTACTTGGATAGCCTCGAACTCAGAACTGACTCCCAGTGAAAGCCTTGCCACTACTGATGATGTAAGCTATTGATGTTTCATAAGATGTAGGTGTTTTCATTCTGTAGCAAATTGGCACCTACTCATCTCACTTCTTTTTGTGAATACACTCAAATGTATGTTGTTTTATGTGAAGTGTAATTAGACTGTGGAAGCCCATTTCCTCTTTAAACCTGAATTTGGAGTCCCTTATTGATTTGCAGTCATTCACTTGTGAGAAGGGGACTTGTCAGCAGTTAAGAACTGAAATCACTTCTGGAGGTTCCATCCATTGACCCAGTAGAGCTAGGAGTATAGACATGAGCACGTGGCGCCTGCAAACCGCAGTCACCCTGTGTGGACTGGCCTTTCAGCAGTTCTTCAGAGCTGGGGGCTGTTGTCAAGAGCGCTCGTCCAAATCCCTCACTTGACGGATGAAGAACTGAGCGGGGCAGTCACTAGCTGGCTCGCCAATGGATGCTAGCTGCCAGCCAGACCAGTGATCTGGACCCAGCACCGCATTTGGGGAAGGCTCCAAAAGCCAGTCTCACACAGACATTTCTGCAGTGGTCATGCTCAAGGTGGACCATGTGGGGCCTCAGCCAGCATGATGAAACATACCAGCCTCTAGGGATAGAAAGGCAAAAGTGAAAGTCCCTGCCCTTGGGCCCTTTCTGTTCTAATGAGGAGACCACCCAGGCATCTGGAGGTTTACACCAAAAGAATCCAAGATAAATCTCGGGAGGGAGGACCTCCATGTCAGGGAGACGGGGGAAGGGCATCATGCAGATTTAGTGCAGAAGCAAACATGGGGACAGGAGATGGAATAGCATAGGGGAGGAGGCCAGTGGGGCTGGTTTCCTTTTCCTTACAATTGTTATTTCCAAGAGTTCAACTGAAAGTCTTGGTGGAACATTGTCATACACACAGTATATATAAAACCATAAACTATTTCCATCTATGCTCCTTACCTTCTCTCCCTTACCACCTATGTAATCTGACTCTCATCCCGCTGGCAGACTTAGTGTGCTTATACACAGATCTGTTGATGGCCTGTCCCTGCTCAGCAGTCTTCCGTGACTCTATCTTGTCCATTGAGTTAAAACTGAAATCCTTCATTGTGTTCAGGGTCTGTCACCAGCCGCCGTTCCCATCTTCATCCTTTTCTACTCTCTGTGGCCTCCTCATTCCAGCCTATCCCTGTTAAATTCTTACCCTATCCTTTGTAGTTCAAATGCCATGTCCTCCAGGAAGCCTGCCCTGATTCCTCTCCCCTCCAAGGAAAAACATTGAGAATTGTCTTCTTCCCACCTAATAAAGGTCATCATAGAGACCATTTGCCTCAGCCTTTATAGAAGTCTCCTTTCTCTGGGCATCTCTACATACGGCCTGCCCTCCATACTTACAACCTGTTTTAAGTAGCCTTCTCCATACAACACAGGGAAAGAATCCAGGGATACCAGAGAACCCCATGCCCAGGCCTACAGAGTCTGACCGTGGAACCCAGAGTATCCAGGTACCACGTCTGTGTTTGCTTCTCCTTACCGTGACACCGAGATTTCTTGCTTTCTGGTTCTGACTCCTGCAACTCAAAGCTTGGCCCAGGTTCTTGGTTTAGTCCAGAAATTCCTTTGTAGGTCAGGAACGTCCTCGTCGGTCTATGGGTGCCAGTTGGCATTTCTGGATTTCCCAGCATGGCCTCAGAAATGTCAAACCAGCTCTGCCTTCCTCCTTGGGCCATGACATTCCCTGAAAAGGGCTTCTTGGTTACATGCCTCTAGGAAAACAAGTGTCTGTCTGTCTGGCCTCTCTTAAAAGCCAAGCCCAAAGGCATTGCTTCGAGTTAGGAACTTCATCGCCACAGCAACATCTTTGAGGGGTACAAGCTTCTGAGGGAGAAGGAGTTCGTATCTTCTCCAAGATGTTACTTCATCTAGGAGGTTTCATCTCTCACCACTCTACTGTGTACCCTGTGGGAGCAGGAACCACACATTCTGGGATATCCCCCAGTGCTTAACACAGTACTGTGTGCACAGCCTTGTAATAAATGCTTCTTCAATTGAATGTCTAGTATTCACTTTGTAAGCAAATTTAGAATCTGTCCTTTTTAAATAACACTTACCTTGCAGCGTGGTAATAAGGCATATGTGGTAGAGAGGCACATAAAGGCACATAATTAGTAGCCTTGAATCAGGGAGACCAGTGAGAAGGAAGCTAGGGAGAGAATCCAGGGGAGAATCACAAAGGGCATGGGCCAAGATAATGACTGAGCAGAGCTTCTGGGAAAGCTGAAGAGAGGTGAGGCGGAGAGAATCCGTGAGACTTGCCAGTTATTTGGACACGGTAGGCGTGTGGAGAGTGACTCTGAGATTGCACATGTGGACGACTAGAAGGACAGAAACAGTGAGGAAACGGGGGGAGATGGAGGGATGTGCTGGGGCTGGGGGTTCTGGTTTGGAGTGGCCACGTAGAGATACCCAGGAGGCAGTTGGACTTGTGAGAGTGATGTTTGGAGAGAGACTGGGATTGTGTAGCAGGACTGGGAATCATCTGCAGAAGAGGATATGTGCACGTGAAAGGGTGGGATGCCAGCGAGGCCTCGGAGGAACAAGGAGAAGCATGGAGAGAGAATCAGCAAAACCCCAGAGAAAAGAAAGGAGTTAGAGTAGCCAAGTACTCACCAGTGGACGCTTCAAGGGGTCACTTTGTATCTCCTGTGGCCTGGACCCTTGGGGCAGTCTGCTGGGACCTGTGGGGCCCTCCTCCAGGCGAGGGCTTTGGTTTTGATTTGTTTTTTACGCTCCCAATTGGAGGAAATGCCAAGCTTCAGTTAGAGGCTGGTGGAAGGGGAGATGTCATGTTTCTGTCCCCAGGTAAGGACCCCTGTTTTACGGGATTTCTCAGGGAGGAGGGAGATTCCAGAAGTTTAAAGGAAAACCCCACTGTTCTTAAACAAAAAAGAGAGTGTCAAAACCGACCTTGCCCCTAGTCTTTACAGGGTCTGGCTGAAAACAGCCAGTGCCGGCAGAGGTCTGCAGGGATCTCCGTGGCTGACCCCGCCCTTGTGGTCCCACAGCACTCTGAAAGGTACAGTGAGTACAAGGTCCACTCGGTTTATAGTTTGGATTAAAAAAAAATTGAGGGGCAGCTAGGTGGCCCAGTGGATAGGGCACTGGCCCTGGAGTCAGGAGGACCCAAGTTCAAATCCGGCCTCAGACTGGACACTTGACCCTTACTAGCTGTGTGACCCTGGGCGAGTCACTTAACCCCAGTTGCCTTGCCAAAAAAAAAATTGACTCAGGGATGCCATCTCACAGGCCTTCTCTAGGGGCACTGGCTGCCAGAGACAGATCAGTAGACTGGCATGGAGGTGGCGTCCCCAGGACTCGGCAGCTGCAGCACATGTGGTGCTTTGTTTAGCTAGTTTAGCTTCTCTGAAATGCGGCACCTTCATTTTCAGAGGCAAGGGGAGTAGCTAGAAGCATTCGCCTTCAGCAGGGGTCTCCTGTGCCTTTGTTAAAACCATCCAAGGTCCTTTGGTCAAGACAGCCTCCAAGAGAACACTCTTCAGTGACCCAGACCATCGGCATCAAGGAAGGTGGAGATCCAAATGGAAGGAGGACGTTCCCAGCGTGACCAGTCAGCCAATGAGGAGGGCTTATTAAGTGCCTACTGCGTGCTGGGTACCAGGCAAGGCTGCACAAAACTGGAAGCATCCTGTACTGAGCAGGGTATCCACTCTGAGATGGGCGGACAGCAAGGATTTACATCACAGTTTACTGCCAGATAGTTTGGGAGGGAAGGCACGAGCATTGAGGGAGGAACAGGAGTAGATGCACCCTCACTGCCTCCCTCCATCCCCAGTACTTTCTTGGCATTTTAATCTGATTCAACAGCACTCAGGAGGGTTGGGGGGGGGCAGGTGCTTGACACCCCTGGTCTAAAGCACTGAGCAGTGACTTGCCCAACTTTTCTTGTTATGTCCAACACTTCCTGACCCCATTTGGGGTTTTCTTGGCAGAGATATTAGAGTGGTATGCCATTTCCTTCTCCGGCTCATTTGACAGATGAAGAAACTGAAGCGGATGAGGTTAAGTGACTTGGCCAGAGTCTCTCAGCTAGGAAGTTCTGAGGCGGTTTTAAACTCGGGTCTTCCTGACTCCAGGCCCAGCACCCTATCTACTTGTGCCATCTAGCTCCAAGAAGCTGTAGCATGCCTAGCAACCACACAAGATGGCAAACCATCTTGGCTGACGGGCTAACCCAGGCTGAGGGTAACTGCCAGGCCTCAGACCTGTCAGTGAGTTAGGGGGTGTCTATCCCAAGCGCGTGAAGACTTCCCTCAGTGGGATGAGCGGGTGAGGACAGTTTGTTCCAGCGGCCTTGAAGGCGGCTGAAGCAGGTGCTGAGGAGCGCTCAGAGCGCAGTCAGACATGGAAGACGCCAAGGTCACCCCTGCATCCCGGGCCATCGCCGTGTGTCCTGACTTTTGTCTCGTCCCTGGACTTCCATGATTCCGGAGAGGCTGTGCGCAGCTACGCCTCGCTGCCCTTCAGGCCACGGCCTGTGGTGTCACTGGGCCTCTTCTAAAAAGGAGGGAGTGATGACACCTTGCTCTGACCCAGATGAGGCACCCTGCCATCTTGTCTGCCGTCTGCCTTGGCCTTTTTCTCCTGGTTGCTCCCATTTCCTCTCCTCGGCCTCTGTGGTCTGGTTTCCAACCTCATTGTTCATCCTAAACTGCTATCTCCAAAGTCACCCATGATTTCTTTTTTAAAAATGGATTTGATTGATACGTTTTGTTTTCACGTTTCTAAGACTTCCCCCCTGTATCTGAATAATCCCTGAAATGCTAAATCTGAACTGTTCTCCTTCTTGACCCCTGCTCCACTTCACCTTCTCTGCCCCTCCCTTTTGTCTCGGCATTGTTCTCTGCGTCCGGCCTGGCCTTTCCTCCATCTCTCTGTCCGTCGTCGTCCACACTACACTCTCTACGTGCACGTTGCTCTGTCCCGAGCCCTTTGCTCCCTCTGGCCTCTCCGTAAATTCCCGGAAGGTTCACTGCCATTGCAGACGAAGGCGCCGTCATCTTTCCAGAGATTGTCCCAGGCTCCTCCCTCTGCTTGCCGCCTCTCAGATACCCAGCTGTTGTACTTCCAGCGTCTCTGACCTCTGGCGCTCTCGGGCCCTCCTCGACTCCCACCCAGATAACTGCATGGGCCCCTCCTCGGCCCACTCCCCACGTCCGTCCCACTTCTGCCAAACGAACCTGGCTCAAGGGCAGATCCAGGCGGCTCGGCCAATGCCTCTGAGGCCCCTGAGTGTGTGTGGTTTTTAAAAATTGTATTTTGGTACCTGCCCTTCGGTGCAGTTAGATTCCCTTGTATTCCTGTGTACTGTATGCATTTAAAACCGGGCTTCTGAGAATGGGGTTCCTGCCAGAGGGGTCCCTGGCACGAAAGGAGCCGTGCTGTGGTATAAAATTCAGACTCCCGTGTTTGCTTCGCTTCTAGGCCAGCCCCAGCCCTCTTCATTGCCCCGCTCCTGCACAAAACGACGTAGCCAAACAGGCTTTCTCGAGTCCTTCCGCGGCCCTGTCTGCGCCTCTCGTGCCTGGAGCCCGGTCCCTCCCTGTGGTGCACGGGTGATCTAGTCCATCCTGTCTCCCCCAGCTCGCTTCGCCTTCCCTGCTGCCTCCAAACTTGTCCTTGCCTCCTCCGTCCTTAGAAAACCCGGCTCGACCCACATGTCCCTTCTGGCTGTGGTTCGTAGCTCCTTCCTTCAGTGACGAAGCCCCGAGAAAGCTGTCTGGTGGGTGCGTCATCTTCTCCCATGTTCCCCTCGACGCCCTTGCTGTCTGGCTTCCGACCTCATCGCTCTGCCAGACTGGCTCTCTCCAAAGTTCCCGGGGACCTCGTGGTTGTCGAATCCAGTCCTCGTTGTCCTGGAGCGCATCCCGTCTGTAGCCTGGGACGCTGGATCACCCTCTCCGGGTTCTCCTTCTCTGCTCCTTGGCTGGGTCCTCCTCCGGGGCTCTGTCCTAGGCCTCGCTTCACGGAGTGATCTGAAAAAGAGGCTCAGATGTATCTGTACAGGCCCAGCCTCTCCCCCAACCCTGTTCTCTCATCTTGAGCTGACCTCTCCTAGACCACACTTGAGCTCATTGCCTTGGCCTCCCCCCTCCCCAACTTGCCTGTTTTTGTGGGGGCTGCCAGCGTCCTTCCAATCTCTGGAGCTTGCAGCCTAGCTGTACTCCTCAGGTCCCTCCCTCTGCAGTCTGTCGTCAAGACCTCCATTCTGCCCACTCCTCTCCTCTGCCTCTGCTGCATGGACTGCTGGTCGCTCCTCGCCAGCGTCCACTGTGGAGCACGCATCGGGCCCTGTTGCTGTCCTGAGCTTCCTGTTACCTCCGGTCACCCTCCCTGCACATCCTGGCCTCCCCCTCCCCAGCAGCGCCCTCCTTTCTCACTTACACCTCCTGGCTGCCTTCAAGGCGCAGCTGCATTCTCACCTTCCAGTTTGTTCTGTCGCCCCCATTAGACTGGGAGCTTGAGAGCAGGGACCCTGTTTTTGCCTCTCTTCACCTCCCTTGTGCTTAGTTCTGTGCCTGGCACACAGTAGGTGCTTGTTGATTTGACTTGAGCATTCATTCTAACTTCAGGTCCCTTCACGCTCTGACAGCGTGTTTTCTTTTTAGCCCTTCCTGAGGTGGTGTGTGACTTCTGATCTCCCCAAATATCTTCTTGTAGCCCTAAAGTCTTCCTTGGAGGAAATAGTCATTCCGTCCCGAGTCTGTGAGAGAGTTAACCCATTGGTATGAAAGAGTTTCTGCTGCAGAAGGTTCAGATGCTTTTTTTAAGTTTCATGTGCCCCAGAGGAATTGGAAAGAAGCAGTGGAGAGGTGCAGACCTCGAGTTACTGGGTTATCACAGAGTTAAAGCAAGAAGACCCCTCAAGCCTGAGTCTGTGAATGCTAAGTTTCTGGGCTGGATACTTAACGTTAACTGTTATGTTCCTCTGGAAATAAGAACAGTTTGTTTTTCTTTGTTTTGTGTGTTAGGAAACTTTTGAGAAGAATTTTGAAAGAGAAACCCGTAAAATCAATGAACCGAATGATGCTGATAATGCCAGTACCTTGTCTACGTCTTCCAACTTTGAGCCCTTTGCCACCGATGATCTTGGTAAGTCACCACATTCGTGTTTCCTGGACTTGGGCCATCTTGTCTGTCCCCTCATTTTGCCGCCCAGGCAGACAGAGCCTCGGGAACCTCGGTGGAATGGTGAGACGTCCCCCAGGTCACAGGTGCACGTGGGATCGGCCCCAGCCCTCGGTCGGTCTCTCCACCTTCACATGCCGTTGCTAGAAGAACCTGCGGCCCAGAGAGGGGAAGGGACTTGCCCAGTGCCCCCCAGCCACTCTGCTGTGGGCTGGTCCTGGACTACACCTCCTGAGGTCAACCTTTAGGGAAAACCGTGCTCCTTGGGGATACGAGTCAGTGACCAGCCCCAAAGGAGTTGTGACCACCTCCCCAGAACTGAGTGTGCTGTCTTTCCCAGAGACTCGTTACGTCCATGGGGCGCTGGGGTCCGGAGCCAAGCTGGCTTCTTCTAGGGGGGTTTCGGAGCTCTTAGGAGAGAACAGGAGATCAGTCAGACCCTGATCGATCGATCAGTCAGTCACTGAGCCTTTATTAAGCACTGCCGGTGACTTGGCCAGGTTCTCGGCATACAGGCACAAACACACACCCCCTGCCCATGAGCTTCCATTCCATCAAGGGGAGCAGGTCAGTGAGGACATAGACACCAAGTCTGTGCAAGGTAACCCCCAATCTCAAGTACCATTCATACTGAGCTTTGCACAGAGCCAGGCATTCCAAGAGGCAGAGGTGAGGAAAGGGAAGGGTCCAGGGCAGCGACAGACAGCCCGTGCCGAGGCCTGAGAAGGTGTGAAGGGAATGGATAGCCCAGGAGTCTGTGTCCTGAAGGCAGGAGAGAGCCGCAGGGCTGGAGCTGTTCTGAAGGACAGTCACCGTGGCCACGCAGGGAGGACTGTGGATGGGAGACCAGGCAGCAGGCTCTTGCCAGAGGCGCTGCCTGTAACTTCACAATCACCTGGGGCACTGGACCTTTTGATTTGTCCAGGCTTCCATTTGTAGTTTGGGTTTGTGCAGCCGAGGAGGGGGTGGGAGGCAGAGAACATCGGTGCATGTGAACAGTGCAGACTGAGCTGAACTGTTACTGAGAGGCTGCAGCCCCGAGGGGAGGGAAAGGCAGCCCCTCCAAGAACCGCGTGGAGGCGGCGTTGAGCGGCCTTGGGAACCGGCCCAGATATGGAGGGTAAAGCATCCCGCTGCACTGGGGCCCCGTCCTGAAAGGCCGGAGACCCTTCCTTTCATTGGCCTTATTTTACCAAGGTAGCCAGGGGGCGCCATGGATAGAGCACCAGGCCCAGGGCCAGGAAGACTGGGGTTCAGATCTGACTTCAGACACTTACCTGTCTGGGTGACCCTGCGCAAGTCACTTAACCCTGTTTACCACAGTTTCCTTGTCTGTAAAGTGGAGATCCTAATAGCACCCAGTGGATTCCCCAGGTTGTTGAGAGGATCGAGTGAGGTGATATTGGTGTCTGTATTATAGCGCAGTGCCTGGCACACAGTGGGTGCTACATAAATGCCAGCTGATGATGATGATGATGACCTCCTAAGATGCTCGTGTCCTTAGAAACGTGAATTGCTCCGTAACAGGAGTCTGGAAGAGTAGGGCTGGGACCTTGGTGATGGTGGGGGGTCGTGAGCAGGAAAACCTGACGCCGTACCTGGTGTGATGCCAGACAGGAGGCCCAAAGCCATTGATCCAGTCTCTCGTTGGCCAAAACAGAACCTCCAGTCTCCCTCCGGCAGCTGTCGGACCTTGGCCCCGCTAACGAGGTATAGGATCGGGCACTGACCGGTCTCCCGTCAGTGAGCCCCACTCCCTGCTCAGCCCCTGGCTTCCCGTTTCCTGCACCAGCTTTACATCTCTCTGCAGCTGTTCTGAGCGCTCTCAGAGCCCTCATTCGGAGGCCAGGCCTCCTCTCCAGAAGTGATCAGGCCCAGGCGCTAGGGGGCTGGATTGGGACTTGGGAAGACCTGGGTGTGAATCCCGTCTGTGTGACTCGAGTTCCTTCTCCTTTGGTCCGTAAAGTGGAGAAGCTGGTAGCCCCTGCCACCTACGCCGAGCGTCATGCGGGTCGGGGTGATCATGCGGGCTGCCAGGCAAGGGCAGTGTCCGGTGTCCAGGAGGACCTCCTCTTTTTCCATGGCACCTGTACCATCTCTCTCTCTCTCCTCTCCCTCCCCCACCGCCCCTTATGAACGGTTGGATGAGACTGGACCCATCCCTGAGAGCCTCCCTCCCCCAGGGCCCGGGCTTCAGAAGGAATAGGTGGTGGGAGTGAGCTGCCTGTCGTCCTGAGAGGCTCGTGCAGTAGCAGGGCTGTTTGTCCTTGGCTGTCTTAACTCACTGTTCTTCCATTCGTGGTTTGGTTTGTTGCTTTGGAGGGATATCCTTTTTTATTTCAGCCAGCTCAGGCATCATTTTTATCCATGCATTTATCCAGCATTATCCATGCTGGTCCAGAAAAAAAGCAGCCCTTTAAACGTGTGTCCATTCCCGATGCAGGCAACACCGTGATCCACTTGGACCAGGGATTGGCTAGGATGAGAGAGTATGAGCGAATGAAAATCGAGGCTGAAAGTGACCTGAGTGCAGAGAGTGCTGGGGCCACCGCCACCGTTACCACCGCTTCCACCACCGCTTCCACCTTCGAAGGTCAGACCTTGGGCGGGCAGGCGCCAACCCACAGCGCCTGGCCTGCCTGGCCTCAAAAGCAGAAAGGGGCATCAGGGCACATGGGAGAAAGAAAGCAGGGAGAGGCCATCTGGGGGTGTGTACGCGGAGGCACGGCCTCTCTGACCGCATGCTGGGGAACAGCCTGTGTGAGGCTGTGGGGCACCCTGTTAACGAAACCCAGCCACAGCCAGTCGTGACAAAAACTGACCCTGGGAAGCAGATGTAGGTGAAGCTAAGCTCTGAGTGCTTCTCGTAGAAACAAAGCACATGTAGGTAAGTCAGGCCAGTAAAACAAAAACATCCTTCCTTTGAAAATGGCTTTAAAAATTCAGTGCAGCGCTTCGATGGTGGTATGATTCCAACAATGCGTAACTCCTTCCACCAGTAGAGATTGCAGCCCGTCTCTCCTTTCTCATCCCACTCACTCCATCCCTAGGTCTCCTTCATCCTTAAAAACTCCTCCCATGACTCACCCGTCCTCTCAAGCTCCTGGCCTATGCCTCTCCTAGTTCGAGGGCCTCTGTTTCTTCTCGCCCACTTCACCCCTGATAAGACGGCTTCCAGCCTCATCACTCAAAGCCGTTCTCCCCAAAGTTACCTGTGATCCCCACAGGGGAAACCCAAATGGAAAAACTACATCTGTGGTGCAGCCTGTGCTAGAGGGCTGGACGTTCTGAACAGCCCGTAGAGGTGGTCCAGTCAGTGTAGATAGAGAATGAAGGGCATTGGCCAGGAATGAGTGCTCAGTGCTGGCGAGGCAGTTCCTGCCCACCAGGAGCTCACACTCACAAGGGGGAAGATAGTGCAGAAAAGGCCCCTCGAAAGAGAGTGGGGCTGAGGGCGGGGCAGAGAAGGGTCTGTGAGGTTTGGCTCCTAGAGAGGTAAGCCACGAGCTCCAGAGGCTGCATCCAGCTGCTGGGGCCAGAGGACAAACAGTCTTGAGGAGTGTCCAGCCTCATGACAGCCTGGGGAGACAGGAGCTCATTCTGACACAAGAATATTCATAGCTTCTGATTATTAGTAGTGCAAAAAACATACCTACAATTATGCTGTCCCTCCAGTTAGTCAATTCAGCCACATACACTTATTAAGCACTTGTTGTTTACAAGGCAGCATGTGCTAGTGTGCTCCAGATAGGAAGGGGAAAATGCCCCACAGGGAGAATAGTGACAAATGGGAGGATTAGGAAAGCCCCAGCACAGGAGATATCGCTGTGTTGAGCCTTGAAGGAGGCTAAAGCTTTAAGAGATGGAAAGGAAGGGGGGCCCACCGCCACCAGTGTGTGGGAAGTCCTCGACACAAGACCTGCAGTGCCGGGTGGGCGTCATCCAGCAGAGAGCAGAAGAAAGGTCAACGTGTGCAGGGAAGGCGGCTGGAGACGGACTGGGGGGGCTCCCCGGGGCCAGGCCCCTGGGAGTTAGGGTCCAGAGGACAGGTGATGGAAGCCTGACCTGGGCTCGGGGCGTTGGGGGAGGAGATGTGGTGTTTGGTGCCCTGCTCATCCAGCACTCTCTGTGTTTTTCCACTAGAATCTACAAAGCTGGAGAGTCGGGGTGCGCCCCAAGGCCTTGGAGAGGTTGCTGCTGTCCCTTGTCCTCGGATTGACACCCAGCAGCTGGACCGGCAGATCAAAGCAATTATGAAGGAGGTCATCCCCTTTCTGAAGGCAAGGAGACCAGGGCTGCTGGCTAGAGCCCCAGGCTCACGAAATGGGGCGTTTTGGGCCTTCAGGGTCCTCGGGATTGTGGGAAGCAGTAGTAGTCAGTGCCTTCCTTTTGTCCATGGGAGAATTACCCTCTAAAATCTAGCCGATAACCATCTTTCTGATAGCCTTACTGTCAGATCCGTGGGTTTCTTTAAGAGGTATTGGAAAAGGAAAGCCGCCTCTTCACCTTCCTGTGGCTTCCCCTAGTGAAGTGTTTGAGAGAGGCTTGCTGTGTCATTTATATGGAGAACATCTGTTTAAAAAAAAAAAAGAGAGAGGATTTCCAGACAAATGGAAGACCTGGGGAGGAGTGGAGGTGACCAAGCCCGAGTAGGCCCGCCCCACTAAAAGTGCCAACAGCTAGTCCTTAGAGGCTGGAAACTCTGGGATCCTTTGTATCTGTAAAAAAAGGTGTAGGGCTTAGGGAGGAATGGTTAAATCAAAGACTTCATGGCAGGTGTGACTGAGAAGAGGTCGGGGCTTTTTTGTTTGTTTGGGGTGGGTTTGGGTTTTGGTTTTGTCGTGGTCCCCTGATCACTGTTGAGCAGTGTGAAAACAAGACTTGAGCATTTGAGTTGTCAGTGAAACGTGGGACATCGTCGAGTAAAAAGAGGATTTGCTCTTGATGATAAAATCTCCCATTTATACAAACTTGGACTGAAGAAAGTCAGGGGAAGGAACCAGGGTCCAAGTCCTTGGACTCAGTTTTGGATTTTGTGAAAATAGGAAGAGCTGGTGACTTGGGGACCTTTTTATCCCTCCCCCAAAATCTCTCTTATAAACAAATCACGCTCCTGCCACATGGACAAGTGTATTGATTTAGAGCTGCGCTGTCCAACCCTGGGTTCCAGGAGCAGTGACAGGGCTGTGCCATCTGGGCCCATGTGATCAGGGGCACACTCAATCTGTGGTCATCCCCCAAGAGAACACATAGGCCCAGTGCTGGTTGGACTCCAAGAGGCAAGGCCTTCCCAGAACTGATTGTGAGCGGCCAGCCATAGCGAAGCTGGTTATGGGTAAAGACCAGCGGTCCCCGCGCCCTGCTGTCTGTCCAAGGCGTTTGAGCAGGGCAGAGGAGAGTGAATAAGCCTGGTGGGGAGCGGTCCTTTGGGGTCTGCCCTCCAGCCCCCCACCCTGTTCCCCAGGCTTCAGACCCTAACACCTGCCCAGACCACTTGTTTGTGACAGAGAATATATTTTCCCTTTTAAAAACAGGTAGAATTCGTTATCGCCAGACCAGTGTATACAAAAAGCCATCTGAATCCATTATGTGATTGAGTTGTACATTTGTAATGGAGAATCATTTTAAATTCAGCATGCCGGTGATTGAGCCAACCTGAAAGAGAACATAGGACCAGAAATAGGAGGTTTTTTCCCCGTGAATTCAGCGAATGTTTGTGGAGCTCCTCCCATAAAAGGCAGACCACAGATCTGATTAGAGGAGGGGGCTCCTGGGCACTTCTCAGGGCTCTTAGGAGCCGGGGCGGCCGTCCCTTCATTTCACTTCAAACTCACTTTTCCTAGTCCGTCTGAGGGGTGTGCCCCAAGCAAAGGTGTCTCCACCTTAGGGCTCCCAAATAGGGTAAAAGGGTGGAGATTTTCCAGAAACGGGTGAGGAGAGAAGAGGCACAAAGCTGTGAGAAATGACTGTTTTTAACTGAGAAAAGGATCACCCCAGTGTTGCGGTTTCCTGGTGTGTTGGGCGGGGGTCAGACCCCCTGAAGTCCAGGTGCAGGCATTTATTGAGGATTGAGGCCCCTCAGAAGCCGGACTTAGTAAGACAGCACAGGCCACTTGGTAGTGTGGTGCTGCTGCTTAGACAGCGGAAATTGTGAATGTGAGAAAGGCAGGGATTAGGTAGTAGGGGAGGGGTCCTGGTCATGCTGCCCTCCCGTGGTCCCGCCTGGGGCACGAGGACCTGGGGGCAGCTTTATTAGGATCCCATCACTGGGTGAAGGTAACTTTGCTTTGAGAGAGAGGAAAAAAGTGGGGAGCACAGAGTGGGGGGCGTGAGTGTTGCAGCCAGGGTGCCTGCACGTGAGCGGCATCCCTGCGCGTCCCGCCTGAACCGGGGGCTCCACGCTCCTCCGTCTTGCCCTTTTCTAGGAGCACATGGACGAGGTGTGCTCTTCGCAGCTGCTGACCTCCGTGAGGCGGATGGTTCTGACCCTGACCCAGCAGAATGACGAGAGCAAAGAGTTTGTGAATTTCTTCCACAAGCAGCTGGGAAGCATACTGCAGGTGAGAGCCCCCTCACTGTGCGCCTGGCGGCAGGGTCACCCGCTGTGGGTCCCGTCTCCCAGCCGCTGCTGCCCTTCCCCGTCCCCTGCCCCCTCGAGGGGGCAGGGGACGGGCAGCCTTCTGCCGCAAGCAGTCTGTCCAGCATTGCTTTTTGTCACAGTGGCAGATGCCATGGGCCAATGTAGTCCGAGGCTGGCTGCCCTCAGAGGTTCGGGGGCCCTGGCTTAGTGAAATGCTGCACGGGCGTCCAGTGCTCCTTCAGCAGATGTGACGGCAAGGAAGGGACCCCTCCCCCCTCGCCCCTCATTGTCCTCATTGGTTTTTAATAAACTATCAGACCCCAGCTGGTCATTTCCCCCACCCCCGTCTGCAGGCCTTTTCCGTGTTTATCCATTTATTACTATTCTGCTGTTCTCTCATATGGTCATGGTTGGAGGAATGATTTCATTAGCACATAAGGAAGTCACCGTCTGCCACCCACGAGTCTGATCCATGCCCTGAGCTCTCCCCAGGGACGGCACTTGACCGCAGGCTTCCTGACCTCCAGGCCAGCTGTCTCCGCAGCCGTCAGCTCTCCTGCCATCCCCTTCTGCCCCTCAGGGGGACCCAGCCATAGGGTTAGAACTGGAAAGGGCCACAGGGCACACTTCATTCAGCATTCTCCTGGGGCCAGACCACCTGCTGCCTTCCTAGCACTGTTCTCTCAGACGTCCTAACCCCCACCCTGCCCCGGCCACACAGAACAATGGTCATGCCCGTGATCTTGGGTCACCCACCGATTCGCCATCTCCGTATGCGTGGGCTCTCTGGCGTCCTTGTCTGGTTCTGCCTCCTCCTCGCAGCCCCATACTGGCTGTCCCCTCCTCCCCCACCTCATCTGGACTGTCCATGGCATCCCTTCATGAGTCCTGGCCTCCTTTGCCCTGCCGGTGCTCGGCCTCTGATCCCTGCCGCTATCCACCACCCTTGGTTTTACCCATGTGCTGCAGAGACATGATGGCGGGACCCTCCCTGCCACCCAGCAACCTGCCTACCTCCCTGGTCCATGACCTCTCCCGGCATCCCTTTCCAGATGTCCCACGCCTTCTCCCTCCCCGCCTTGCTCTCAGCTGAGAACTTTGCCTCAGTTTCCCCCAGATGGAGCTCCTTCTTCTGCCTTCCTCCTTGTGCTTGATGCCTTCTCCTGGCCTCTCTTTCACCCTCTTCCACCTTCTGCATCATTCCCATTCATCCTCAGTCTCCTCCTGCCTGCCTATAAACTTGCCTTCTCACAAGCTCTCCCCTTGTCCTTCTGGCCCCTCTGGCTATAGGCCTTGAGTCAGTGCTCCCATGTCCGCTGCTTTCACCCTCTTCTGAATTCTTGGCATGCTGGCTTCCAGCCTCGGCATTCTCTCGGCAGCCTCCAACTCTCAGTTCCTTGATCCTCCCTGTCGCCTTTGCTCAGTCCCCCTCCGGGCTCTGTCGTGGGTGCTCTTCTCTTCCCCCTCTAGACAGCTCCACTTGGAGATTCACCCGCCATCTTGGATGGGTTTGTCCAGCCCTGACCTCTCTCCTGAGCACTGGCTGCCCTCATCCAAAAGTGCACCCGTTGTCTTGCCCCAAGCTTTCCCGCTGCCAGACCTGCCTGTTGGTGGGGAGGTCACTGCCCCACCCGCGTCACTCAGGCTTGCAAACTGTGATGGTGCCTGGAATCCTCCCTGGCCCATCGCACTGGCCGTTTGGGGAAGTGCCTGCTGGGCACTTCCACCCGCAGTCCCTTTAGCGCCTCTTACGCCCCTGTGGGATCCCGACCCCATTTAAGAAGCGCTGTTCTCAGAGACCGCCTTCGCCTTTCCCTGGGATGCTTGGTCTTCTCTGGTTGCTTTTGGCCGTCCTCACTTGACTGGTACTTGTCTTTTAACAGGATTCACTGGCAAAATTTGCTGGTCGAAAACTGAAGGACTGTGGCGAGGACCTGCTGGTGGAGATATCTGAAGTGTTGTTTAACGAGCTGGCTTTCTTTAAGCTCATGCAGGATCTGGACAGTAACAGCATCTCCGCCAAGCAGCGATGCAAGAGGAAAATGGAAACCGCCGGCGTGATGCCGTCGTACGCAAAAGAGGTAAATGGTTGTGGTGTGTTTTTCGAAACAGCTTCCAGAGCACAGAGATGTTTCCCATGATCATCTGAGTGGGTGGGTGGGTGTGTGGGTGGATGAGTGAATAGGTGCTTGGATGGGTGGGTGGATGGGTGGGTGGATGGGTGCTTGGATGGATGGGTGGATGGGTGGATGGGTGGATGGATGGATGGATGGATGGATGGATGGATGGATGGATGGGTGGATGGATGGGTGGATGGGTGGATGGGTGGGTGCTTGGGTGGGTGCTTGGGTGGGTGGATGGATGGATGGATGAATGGATGGATGGATGGATAGATGGATGGATAGATGTATGGATGGATAGAGGGGTGGGTGGGTGGATGGGGTAACATTTACTCAGCACTTACTGCATGCTGAGCAGTGCTCGATGCCGAGGGGACAGACGCCAGACATGACAGTCTCTGAATTCTAGGAGCTCCCCTCCGCCTTCCTAAGGGGAGACGAGGCAGATGGGGCTGGGGAGTGAAGCCTTGTCACTCCCTGTCTAGAATGCTTGTGGTAATGGTTGGATCGCTGTCCCCGGAACAGACCGTGGAAGGAGCTGGGGAGGAGAGAACTCATGCAGGAGGCCAGGCTGGGGGTATGGCTGGGTGGTGTGTATGGGGCTAACCAGAGCCAGGGTGATAGGTGTTAGATGAGAACAGCTTTACCCAAGGCCCAGTTCCACAGCTGGGTAGATGAATGGGGGGGGCATCCCAGCTGTGGGGCGGGGCTGCTAGGTACCTGGCACGTGCCTGGGCCCTTTGAGAATCAGCCCATCAACCTTGGCCAACGTGCAGTAGTTCTGCTGTCCTTTTTTGAGGATGCAGAGGGACCCTGGATGGGAAGCCTAGGGCAGAGGTCTTGGGAAGGCGGGTGGAGGAGCCATGGATGCTGGCAGGGGATAGATTGGCATGGAACAAGGGCTTGGGCAGGACCTCTGTTGGTTTGCAGCAGCCAGGGTTTTAACGGCCCCTGACCACTCTAAACGTCAGGAGCTGCAGCCGAGCATGCTTTGGAGCGTGGGGGCCGGTGGGGAGCAGGCCTGAGGGCCCCACTGCCCATGGCGAGCCCTGCAGGGGCTTCTGGGGCTCCAACTAGCATGGGCAGGGCCGGCAAGGCCAAGAGAGCGAAGGATGCTCGTGTCTGGAGTGGCTGGGGGGCCCCGCTGCCACCTCTCAGAGATGCCTTTGAAGGGAGCCGTGGGCCGGGGAGCGGTTCAGAAGCCAGAACACTGGGACAGCAAGGCACACGTTTCTGAAAACCATTAGCCTTTTTGGTTGATGGTGAGGAGATAACAGCCACCGACTTTTGTCAGTCACTCATCAGTCTCACCATTTAGGAAGCCCCTCCTCTGTGTCAGGCTCTGGGAAGACAGAAAGAGGCAGAGCCGTCTCCCTTTCCAGGGCCCTTTGCCAGCAAGGCCCCTGACTTCAGTCCCCAAGTCTGGGGGGGTTGTGCTATGCCAGGCTGCCTCTTGGAGATTCCCCCACCCTTGAGTTTTTCTTTCGGGAGCCTGTGACCTCAGGTGCAGGAGCATGGTCACGGAGTCGGGAAAGCCTGGGTTCAGGTGTCCCTGGGCCGCTCCAGGGCTCGTCACTTCTCCCCTCAGTGCCCCAGCCAGCTCCCTGAGATGTTCCCTTCGGGTGCATTCGAAGCGCCTGGGACAGAGGGGCCGCATTAGCCTGCTCCACCTACGAAGGAGTGACCTGCCCAGCCGGGAAGCATCTGAGGCAGGACTTGAAACCCGGATCTCCCCGACTCCTGTCCCATCCCCAGCCGGGCCAGGCCCGCCCAAGTCTGGGCAGAATCAGCACGGGCTCTGGAGCCTGGCTGAAATGCCGTCGTGCTCCCGTCGGTACGGCTGATGAAGTGTTCTCCTGCAGCCTCGTGCCTCCGTCAGTAGAAGGTCCTTCTCCCCAATGTAGATGAGGAAACGGCGGCACGTTGGGCCTAGCATTCAGACTCCTGACTGAGTCCTTCCCATTGCCCATGTTAGCGCCCTGGACGTTTGAGCGGCTCATTGCTGAGTTGCTGCTTCTCGGCGCTTTCCTCGCCGGGTCAGATAAAAAGAACTGAAGATGTGAATTGTTTTCTTACAGGCCAAACGAATTCTTGAGGGAGACCTCGGGGCGCCCGCTGGAGGAGTGGATGATGAAGACAAGGTCCGTTGTTAAAGCTGTCCTTGACTTTGGCCACTTCCGTGTCCTTCCCGCCTCAGTGCCCAGCGTGGTTTAGGGTCAGCTGTAGTTCCGTTGGCGGTGGGCTTATGGGCTTTCCCACTGTTTGAGCGCTAAATTCCTTCTCAGCCACCTCGCTGCCCCCACTCCCTGCTTTATGTATTTAGTTTTTTGCATTTTGCTAGGCAGTGGGGTTAAGTGACTTGCCCAGGCTCACACAGCTAGTGAGAGGTATGTGTCCGAGGCCGGATTTGAACTCAGGTCCTCCTGCCTCCAGGGCCTGTGCTCTATCCACGGTGCCGCCTCACTGCACCCACTTCCTGCTTTCTTTCCAATCAGAAACGATGGTGTAAAATCATTCCATTGTATCCTCTCCTCTTCTCCAGAGCATCGTTTGGCCCCACTTCTCTGTTCCGGAGGAGCGCGGGTGCTAATCCCTCCTTGTGCTTGTGGCTAGGACAGGGACAAGACGGAGACGGTAAAGCAGACGCCGCCACCGCCCAAGGCGTACGATGGCGGTGAGGCCCCCAAGAACACGAGGTCCGACGCGTCTGACCAGGAGGAGGATGAAGAGAGCGAAGGACGCCCCGTGTCCATTAGTAAGTGGGGCAGGGCGGGGGGAGACTCCTATTCATGCGCCGACGGTTGGGCCGCTGTCCGCCATCTTTGGAAGATGATGGTGCTTGGACTTGACTTCTCAGCTGAATTCTAGAACACAGAATGTTAAAAGAGGAGTTAGAGAACGTCTAGAAGAGGGAGGACTCGCCGTCAGAGTCCTTGCCGGCCCAGTTAACCTGGAGCTGCCGATGGGGAGGAGCTGTCGGTGGGGAGGAGCTGCTGATGGGGAGGAAGGAGCTGCCGATGGGGAGGAGCCGCAGATGGGGAGGAGCTGCCGGTGGGGAGGGAGGAGCTGCCGGTGGGGAGGAGCTGCAGAGAGAGTGTAGCTGTGTTTTAGCCAAGCGTGGAGCCCGTCTCATGCTGTCCCAGTGAACGAGGTGGAGGTGTGGGCCACGTGGTAGCGTGGCTGGACGTCTGGACGTGGCCACAAGTCGTCAGTGGGCAGCCCTGGGGTCTGTGCGTGGCTGCTTAGTGTTTGTATCAGAGGTTTCAGGCTCCTCCAGTATGAGGGCGACATGACGTTGGGGGGCAGAAGATCTCCTTCGGCCACAGTGTTCTGCCTACACTTGTAGGATCCCTTGACGCATCAGGCTGAGTGGCTGGTCTGGCACTGGGGTCCCCCTGAGGGAGGGGGTGGGGATGGCTCTGTGCTGCGGCGCGTCCTAGGCAGACCGGAGCGGGTGAGGGGAGCACCTGGAGTCCAGACAGGGAAGGGCCCGAGTGCATCCCTGCGGGGATTGTAGGACAGCCAGAAGTGGCTCGGGTTTATCCTGGACTTGGAGAGACTGAAGGAGCGTGCTAGCTGCGGGGTTGGAGGGCTGGCTTCAGATCTCACCTCATCCCCGTGTGACCGTGGAGCAAGTCCTTCCCCACCTCCGTGGGCCTCTGAAATGAGGGGACTGGATTCCGGGGCGAGGCCCTCGGGCCCTCTGCAGGCCCAGCATCGTAGGATTCTGCAGAGGGCGGGAGAGGGCCTCGCCGAAGGGGATGGCACTGAACTGTCATGGGGAGGGGGTGCAGGGAGCCGACAGCGGGGCTCAGGCGACGCCTTCCTCACTTCAGATTTGTCCAAAGCGGAAACGCAGGCGTTGACCAATTACGGGAGCGGAGAAGACGAGAACGAGGATGAGGAGATGGAGGAGTTTGAAGAAGGGCCCGTGGACGTCCAGACGTCCCTGCAGGCCAATAACGAAGCCACCGAGGAGAATGAGCAGGACCAGGTACCGGGGCAGAGATGCGCGGGCACGAACCCTGGTGGCATGACCCAAGGGGCTGGGCGTGGGGGCACCCTGTCCCCGTTCACACACTAAGTAGGCCCCCTCCTCAGTCAGCAGGTCAGCAGGGGCTGTCCCTGGTGGGGTAAGGTCTCAAGGCCCCAGTCCCTCGCTGGCACAGAGCCACAGAGAAGGGACGGCGGGCTTGTCCAGGGTGGGCACGAGGTACCCGGGTGGGCAGCGAAGAGAAAGCAAAGAAAGAAAGAAACCCTTGTTGGAGGGATTGCCCCCTGCCTCCTTCAGAGAGCCGCCCAGTGAACCGGTAGCTGCAGAGGCCAGGGATGGGCCAGGTTGCACTCGGGGCCTGGGGATTTCTAGCTTCACGTCAAAAAGCAGCCAGCACGTGCCGCAAGCCCGGGCTCCCTGCGTCTTGCGGGAGGGGTCTCCGAAGCTGGCAGGCACAGACCGACGATCCTGGCTCTGGGGCCCCGGTCATCTGCCAGCTGACCCAGGGTAACCTGCACAGGAATCAGCCCGACTCTGGGGCTGGCTCCTCCCCACTGCCCTCCTCCGCCGCCCCTTCCCTCTGCGTGGTGACCGTCCGTTCTCTCCTAGGTTCTACAAAGTGAATTTGAGAAGCATGTGGACAGAGAAGGACTCCCACGTGAGCGGGAACCTCCCAATGGCCAAAGCAGCCAGAGAGGTGAGAGGCTCGCCGGTGTCCCCGCACTCTCGTCCATGGTCCCTGGGCACGTCCCTGACAGGGCACAGCCTGGAGGGGGTCAGATGAATCCTCTACACTTGTGGTTCATGTAATTTTGGAGAGTGACCATCCGATTTGTGGTCGTTAACTGATCTTTGGTTAGAAAGTCTTGTGGTGAATATAAACAGGTTAGTCTGTACAGACAGCCCCAGGGAAAGACCCGATAGGTTGGGGTTTTTTTTACATATTTAACCTTACAGAGAAATAAACCGGTGAAGAGGAGGAGGGCGTTTGGCCCTGTGTCGGCACACGCCTCTAGGCCCTGCTGCGCCAGGGCGGGGCTGGGGCAGAACAAGGGAAGTGGAGACGCTCTGGAGCCTTGTCGTCAGCAGAGCGGGCCCACGCTCCACTCTGCTCTGAGAGAGTGCGTCATCTCTCGGGTCCCTGTAGCGACTTGTGCATGCAGCGTTGGGCCACAAATGTTCATTGATCCCCCTCGTCCTAGTGGACGAGCCTGGCACAGGGCTGAGGGTACTGACACTGGGTTGATTGATTGGGTGACAGGGGACTGCGACAACTCTCCTGCCATGCCGTGCTACCTTAACATCTTGGACAAAGAGCAGCCCCTTGGCGGCCCGCCCCCTCCGGAGCCCCCCCTGACCGGCGGCGGGCCCTCACAAGAGCCGAAGCCATCTTTACCCATTGCCGAGGTCGAGGCCTCCGTGCCCAGGAGCACCCAGGCAAAATCTGCTTCCAACACTCCCGAGAGCTCGGTGGCCGGAAGCCCCGACACTGAATCGCCCGTGCTGGTCAATGAATATGTATGTATCGCCCGTCCTCGGGGCCACCCACCATGGGGCCTGTATGTCACGGGAGGGTTCTGCTCCTCCCGAGTTAGTTCTGTAGCTTGAGCTCAGTCAGCAATCAGTGCATGGATCCCCAGTTGCTGCCCAGGAGGGTACAGAGAGGCGGGGAGCCAGAGCCCACGAGTTCAGAAGGCCTCAGAGTCACGGGTACAGGGAAGGAAGGACCTGGGCAGCAGAGAGTGGAGGGGGGGAGGCCCCGGGTGTAGCTGGTTTCAGGCCTGTGCTCCTTCTAAGCAGGAAGCGGGATCTGGTCACTTAAGTCAGAAGTCTGACGAGGAGGACTTTGTCAGAGTGGAGGACTTGCCCCTGAAGCTGACCATTTATTCCGAGGTACTTGGCTTTCTGCTTCCCCGGAGGCCCCAGCACTGGGGGGGGAGGGCGGGGAGGCTCTGTGCGGCTGCCGGGCCTGCGGCTGGGCCTCGGGTTCCATCCCTGGGGGCTCTCCCCTTTTCTTTCCCACCTCCAAAGGCAGATCTGATGAAGAAAATGGCAGCAGAGGAGCAGAGTAACCACTTATCTGAGGAGATACTGGCCGTGACTCCCAGCGAGGAATTGGCCGGGGACCCTCGGACCCTGAAAGAGCCCCGCGAGGGGGCCGGTCCTCCATGCGATCTCTGACCAGCCTTGGGCTCGGCGCCGCTTCCCGGGGATGCCTGCGGCCCCCTCCTCACTGGACCCCCCAAAGCGTGTGAGAGCCGGCGGGGGCCTGGCCCCCTGCCCTGGGCACTGAGTCCATGCGTCCCATCTGTATAAAAATGTCAGTGAGTGTTCGACCCACTCCCTTCAGCCGCTCAGGCAGCTTGCTCGCTCGCACGGCGTAGGCGGCGGGGTCCTCCCCAGATTCCAGGCTTGCTTCTCTTTTTTATTTTTTCATTGTGATTTGTTTAGTAACTTTAAACTTAAAATGTAGTTTTAAATAAAGTTTGGACTTGTCTGTAAGGGGTCTGAGCATTCTGCTGCATGTTCTAAAGGCTTGGCAGTCACCAGCGCTGAGCTTAGGAAGGCCCCAGGCACATTGGCATGGGAGGATAGGCCTCTGGCACGGGCGTGGGCATGGCTGGGATAAATTGGAAAGGGTCCCTGAGGGCTTTCCTTCATGCATCTGACAGTGCTGGGCCTAAGGGCCCTTGGAGAAGAGAAGGGTGCGGAGCCTTAGAGACAAGACTTGAACCCAGGTCTTTGGGACTGCGGCAGCCAACAATGCTAGGGTTCCCTCTGCCCCCAGCTGCTTCCTCCAGGTCTGCTCCGGTGAACAAGGGGGGCTTTGCCCAGAGGAGAGAGAAGCCCCATAGCGACTCTTTGTAGAGGGCACACGTCTCTGGGTCCTCCCCACAACCCTGCGAGGCAGAGCCATCCGGAGCCAGGGAGGGGCGGTGGCTTGCTCCGGGCCGCCCAGCCCCATCGCTCTGAAGCAGGAGTCCAGGCGGCTTCAACCCCGAGTCCGGCGTTCTGCCCATGAGGCCACGCTGCCATGGTTAGGTTCTTCAAGCTAGTGTGGGAGAGCAAGAGAACAAAGACTGATGAGCCTTTTGATGTTTTATCTCTGATTCCCAAGGCTGGTTTCTGGATAGTCTATCCACAAGTCATAGGTAAACTGAGGTCCAGAGAAAGGGTCATCTAGGTAGTAAGCAGCAGAGCCAGGATTTGAACAGGACACACCACCACATCCACTGCTTTCCGCACCGCATTACCTTAACCTGTCTTCCTAGCTATGTCCCCATTTTAGAAACAGACACGTTAGGTACCTCTTCATTGTAAGAGCATCTAGAAGCTTGAGGTGGGCACACGACCCACCAGGCTTTCATTTTCCCTACTACATCTGTCTGGTCAGGCGGTCATCTGAGTTCTCTGGCTCTGACCGTTCCTTCCCCGTATCTCCCCAGAACCCCTGCAAAATCAAGAGAAGCGTGGTATTTAAAGCTATGGGAAAGGATGGTTGTCCCCTGCCATGTCGTCCCTAGAGGGCACTATTTGGCCACCTTGGGTTTCTCTGCCATCTTTTGTTCCCAAGGGTCACCTGGAGATAGATTCCCATTGGCCTATTTCCCAGTTCCATGTTGGGCACGAGCTGGCCCCTTGGAAGGCCCTGAAATGCTGATGTGGGATCTAAATGAGAAGCCTTTCCTCCCTCACCAAGCAGAGCGTGCGCCTCTTTATTTCTGGGGCCATTGGGAGCATTCTTTTTCTAATTTCCAAGTTCCAGCTTTCCTCTGGCACCCACTGAGAACACGGATCAGCTTCAAGCGCGTTTCTCCACAGCTGTGCTTGGTCTCCTCTGCCCTCCTGGCCTGCTGTGCAGCCTTTGGCCTGGGTGATCCCCCCTCCCCTCCTCACTCTCTGACCGCTGCTCCTCTCTCTCCTTGGCTGGATGCCCCTCCAGGTCACACCCTCTCACCCTAGGTGTCCCTCTGTCCTGGGCTCATCTCTTCTCCCTCCAGACTACTTCCCTTGGTGATCTCATCAGCCAATTATGCTGATGATTCTCAAATCTGCTTACCCACCCTAACCTCTCCCCTAATCTCATTTTAGGGTCTTCTCCCACCCTCCTCCCTCTTCTCTCTTCCCGGTCCAGTGACCCTCAAACATGCAACCATCGTCCAGGTCGTGCGTGGCTCCCGCCGTAGCTCGGCCTGACTGGAGGGCACCCAGATGGTGCAGAGAGCTGAGCTGGCTGCGGGTCCCAGGGTTCTAACGTTCGCTCAGCCTAGCCCTCCAAATGAAAGTCTGGCATCTGTTTCCACATCTATAAAAGGGAGTCTGTTTTTTCATTTGCTGTTTACACCCCTGAAGGCCCTTTCAGGTCCAGGCTTTTGTGATCCTGAAAGGGGGGTATTGTTTAAGTGTTCTCATCTTTGAGGAGAAGGGGGCAGGGATGGGACGGTGATAGGTGATAGATGAAGAGACACGAGCATCAAGGGTAAAATTCAAGCAGGGTGAGAGAGTGCAGCAAAGTGGCAGAACCCCAGATGGGCACAAATGATGGGCACCTGTCCCCTGTCTCTAGCCCTCAAGTGGGCATTGGCATCGGTCAGAGTAGGAGAATTGGGACCGTACCTTCTTCCCTGGAGGGCTGCATCACCTCAGACCCTCCCTGTGGTTTCCTACCCTTCTCCCCCTGGAGCCTCGTCATGGAGGCCTGCGCCCCCAAAGCTACCATAGCTCAGATAAGCAGTTACCCTTTGCCCAAATAGAGCTCTAGACCAATAAAGGGTCAAAGGCAAAGGAATTCCTGGCCCTTGCCTCAGCCTCCAACCAGAAGCTTCAGAGGTAAATGCTACATGAGACCAGATTCCCTTCCAGCCTGGCCAGGCGTTTGTCTGCCAAGATTCAAGCAGCCGCCATGGGAGAAGGGGGTCTTCAGGCCCCCGGGGAAGTGTCAAGGACCTCCCTTTGCTCCCTGAATCTCACCAGGACAAAGTGAGCGTCCCACTGGGACTGGAAGAGAGGTCCTTCAGCTCAGCCCCACAAAATGTGCCCACAGGATGCTGGGAAATTCTCCCAGGGAAGATGTCAACAGTCAAGATACCCACAAAATAAATGGCCCCAAGTAAGGTCATAGCCCTCTCAGACTACACAAATCCTGGGGATTAACGGGCTGAGTTTAAATCTAAAAAAGAAAAAGTCCGAGACACAGAACTACCCTGGTATATTGATTTAATTAGCAAGGTCAAATATTGTCCCCAAAATCAGGGCAATAATCACAGTGACTAGAGACAATTGACAGGTTTACAGAACTTATTTTATGATAGCAAAAGAAGAACCATATTCATGAAGATGCTATATATTCATAACACTAGTGATGAAGTATTACTAGGCTAGGCAAATAGGTGGATTTGCAGTGTTCAGCTGCCGGGCATGTTGGGATGTGCAGGGGAGTTTCCAGGGTGTGGTAACTGCTAGACTGAATATCGGACTGGATTAGGACTCATTTCACTTTTGGGGGAAGTCAAGACTCACTGAAAAGAGGACCTGAAGGCCGCCCCCCACCCTCCAGCTGTCAGAAAGGGGAACTTGGCCTTTGGTCAAGAGTTCTCGACCTTTCATCCTGTGCTTACCGAATTTCTACAAAGAAATACTTCCCGTCCCAACTTCTCTGCTGTCCAGTGTTGTCAGTCTGTCTGGTCACTAAAGCGTAAGGGAATATTTATGCCAGTCTAGCTGTTGGCTAAGGAAGGGAAGCAATCCTACAGTCAAACTAAAGTAAATCAAGGCAATCTATACCAACTGATTCAGAGGCTGCTGTTTCAGAGGATGAGCTTTCAGGCTGAAAAGACCCTAGACCAGTCTTTCCAGGTTCCTCCCCTGTCCTGTCCACTCAGGTACCAGTGTGTTTACTTCACCAGGGAGTTGGTCCCCACCTTCTCTCCCCTTCCCTGCAGCCCAAAGCTTCTCTAACTTCTCTCCCAGCCAAGGTCGACCAGCCCACCCACTTGGGCCTTCAACCCTCTGCCATCTCCTCCAGGCCCACTCTATCCATTCCAATAACGCTCTTCCACCTGACTGGTTCCTTCCCCTTGGACAGTCAGTGGGCAGACCTATAGGCCTGTGGGCTGGGAATTCAGAGACAGGAGCAGAGTCCCTGCCCTTGGGCAGCTTACAGCCTCTCAGGGGAGATCACATAGGCAGATAGAAGTATTTACAAGGTGGAGGCCAGCAGCCGGTCCCTGGAGGGATCACAAAAGGCTTCTTGGCTTTGGAAGGTCACACTTGAACTATATCTCAAAAGAAGACTGGGATTTTACAAAGTAGAAGTGAGGAAGCAGGGCATAACAGGCATAGGGAACAGCCTGGCCAAAGGTCTGGAAAGAGAAATGGACTGTCATGTATGAAGACTAGTAAGAAGGCTAGACTATAAAGGGGAGCGCTTAGCACGGTGCCTGGCACACTGTAGGCACTTAAGAAGTGTTTCTTGGCTGAAGTAGAAACAGCAAGATACAGCAACAAAGAGCTTGGCTACGTGGGGTGGAGCAGAGGGAAATTCTCTGCATAGATGACAAACGGAGGTGACTGAGGATGGAGAACCAAAAAAAAAGGGCCCCTTGAGGGCAGAACTTTGGGGAATGCACAAAATTAGAGGGTGTCATGCGGATGCTGAGCCAGCAGAGGACCTGAGGACCCGGGTCAGGCAGGGAGGAGAAGCGTTCCCAAATCCCAAGCCAATCCTGGTGTGAGAGGCTGCAGAGGCCAAAGAAGGGCGAGCATGGAGAGGCTGCTGGAGCTGGCCGCGAAGACACCAACGGTGACCTAGGAGAGCAGGTGCCAAACTGCTAACAGCTGAGAAGGGAGGACAGGAAGCGGCAGGAGAAGATGCCTTTTCCTAGGTGTTAAGCTCTGAAGGGAAAGGGAGATGTAGGGTGGCAGCTGGTGAGGACTGCAGGATCCAGCGAGGGATTTCATGGGGTCATATCTGCGGGCAGCAGAGAAGGAGCCCGGAGGCAAAGATAGTTGAAGACGGTGATTAAAGAAAGAGGGGGTGGTCAAGAGGGCAATGTCCTGGAGAGGACAGAGGCGATGAAATGAAGAGAAAGGCCACCTCCTCGTCATCCAGGGAGGCAAAGAGGGGGGAATGAGGGGCGATGTTAAGGGACCGTGAGACGGAGAGAAGTGGGAACCCACGGCAAATTTTTCCAATATGAATCAAGGTCCTTAGCTGATGTTGGTGATAGAATGGGGCTCCATGGGACACCGTGGAAGGGGAGGAGGGACTAGGAGAGGGACTGATGTGGATAGGGATAGGAGTGGGAAGGGGCAAAGACATGAGAGAAGAGGTCAGGAACAGCTCCTATGGGGAGCAGTCAGGAAGGAATGAAAGGATGGTCTTGCGACAGCATGGACCCAGTTGTGATTGCGGAATGGACACGTGTAGTGTGGAACCGATCAATAGTCATGTCCTCCAACACATTCAAACGGTCCTTGGCCTTAAAGGAGCTGGGGGTGGG